CATAGCATTTATACCCTTTAGTGGTGGGGTGATATCCTAAGAAGACATAAGGAGTGGAGCGTGGTTGAAGTTTGTGGTGAGTGTAAGGGCGGAGCCATGGATAGACAAGGCAACCAAAGGCACGAAGGTGGGTATATGTAGAAGGACTGATAAGTCGGGTTTGGTTTGGTTCTTTTTATTCTTTTTTAGGTATTTTTAATATTTTTAGAGTTTAATTTTTAGATGTTTAGCTTAGTTTTATTATAATTTTCATTTTTACATTCTTTTTATTTTCTTTTAAAAGTTTAATTTTTATTTTATTTTTCCTAACCCAAAATTATCAGATATCTTATTTATTGGAGAAAAATGTAGCAAAAGGCCGAATCAGAAGTTCAAGTTTTAAAGGAAGAGATCAAATTTGGGCCAAGCCCAAATCCTACATTAAAAGAATCAAGCATCCAATCCATTCTCATTTTCTCTCTAGCAACAAAGGAAAAAAAACGGAGAATAGCGCAGACATCTTCCACGCAGCGACTTCTTCTTCTACGACAAGTCTCCAACAAATTTTGGCGCTGTTGCCGGGGAGAGTTTTGTATCAAATCAATTTAGTATGCCTTTGTGTCATGTACTATTTGTTTGTAAGGAAGCATGAGTTGATGAAGTAGCCTCTTTTCTACTGTTTTGCATGATAAATTTTTAGAACTGAGGTTCTTTGTGCTTATCGAAACTGAAATCAGCATTTGTGTTTTTGTTTGTTGCTGAAAACTAGTTTTCATTGCTGTTTTTATGAGAATTTTAGGCCTTTTCTCAAGAAAAACTGCATTTTGACATGATTTTAAGCATTTTCCCTTGCTGTTTTTGTTTCCTTTGACCATACATGTTACATTTGAATGACATAAGTGCATATTTGTTTCATTTTTTATGTGCACATGTATGTATGGATTATGTTATGGATTGGTGCATGCTGATTTTTCAAAAAAATCTGCACTATTTTGGTTGAGTACACCTGCTGTGTTTGTCCCTTAGAGTGCTCCACATGCTTGAAGTTTGAAATATCATTGCTCTATCTTGCTTGGGGACAATATTTTGAAGCATATCATGAGGTTTTTATGCTGATTTTGATGCCCATTATGCTGATTTTGAGAAAAATCTGATCTCAAGTGCAATTTGAAAGAAAAAATCTGCAATTTTTTTCCTATGTCCAAGCTGATTTTTTGTGTTCCAAGATGCATATATGCTGAATTTTGAAGTTTCATTGTTAAAACTTTCATGGGAACTAATGTGGGAGCATTTAGCATGAGCTTTCAATCTTGTCTTGATCTTTATATGCTCCTTGTTGCTCTTAAAATATAAAAATGCAGAAACTCTATTTCAAGAAGACTTTGAAGCCTATTTGTGCAACTTTAAATCTGATTTTTCCATTCTTAATTGAACATAAACTGCTATTCTTAGAGCTAAAGTCAATTATTGATGCTTATCTTGTTTTCATCTTTTTTGGGGTGTTTTAAAGAAACACATGTTCTTATCTTACTACTTCATATATGCCTTAAGTGAATATTTGTTTGCTGGTAGTAAGCTTTGTCTAGCCAAAGACTTTAAATCGGGCGGCTTATGGGAGGCAACCCACCTTTTTAAGTTTTTTATCTTTCTAAATTTTTTTTTACTTATAACTTCTCGTTATTGTTGTACTTTTTCTCTTATAGTTATTTTGCATTTTTTTCCTTTTTTCTATTTTTCTTTAAGTTCTTGTTGTTGTACTTAACTTTTTTTGTGGTTATTAATTTGATTTTATTTCTTTTAAGAACCAACTTTTCTTCCATATTGATGTAATAGTACTTGTTGTAATTATAGGATTAGTTTTTTTTCCTCTTTCATTTAGTTTTTGAAAAAACAAAAAAAAAGTATAAAATTGAAAGAAAAAAAAGGGAGTTATGTTATCTTGTTGAGCTTAATTGTTTTTTTTTACTTGTGCTTCTAACCAATCTACTTTGAGAGCTTTTTGCAAGATTTGTTAAGTCATAGGTTGGAGCATCTCTGTTTGGAGTAAAAACCTGCACAGAAATGGTGCAAAATCTGATTTGAACGGCAACTCGAAGTGCCCTTGGGTATTGGTATATTGTCATTTTTCTGTTTCTAGAAGCTTTGGGTGTTTACATTTGATCATTTTTGGGTTGAAAATTGAAAATTCTGCACTCTCAAGGCTGATTTTTGGATACTAATGAAAAGTTCTGCATTTTGGAAAGTTATTTTTGGATTTGTAAGCTGATTTTTTGAGTGCGAAATGCAAATATTACACTTTTCACAGCTTATAGGTGCTGAAATAGAAAAAATATACAATCTTTTCTTAGTGTTCAATCTTATTTTTGAGTTCATCAGATGCATATGTGCTGAATTATGATGTTCAATAGATGCATATGAGCTGCTTTGCACGTGCATGACATAACTAACATTCTCATATGCAGCATTTTGTTTTGAAAAGTGCAAAAAGGCACAAGAATTGGTTTCCAGAACCAAATTTGAAGCTTAAAATCTGCATTATTTAAATCTGATTTGTTGTTCTTCAATGCTAAATTTTTGGTCTTAGCCTTCTCTTTGCAGATCTTAGGTCCATCGAGCACAATACGGAAGGGAAGGCAATGAACTGATGTCGCGTATACTTTTTTTTAGTTGCATTTCCCTCTCCCATTCTCTCTTTGCTAAGTCCGTGCTTGCTTAATATTGCCATTTGCATACCATATAGATGCATTGGGGACTATGCACATTTTAAGTGTGGGGGGAGGTTCTCATGTTTATTCTGTTATTTGGGGAAGTATATTTTTGGGCAATTTTTTTTAAGTTTTGGGTCTAAATATTTTTGTCATTCTTTGTTGCATATCTTCTTATTTAGAGCATTCTTTTTAAATTTGACCCAAAAACCTCATTATTTTTCTTGAGCTTTATTCTGAAAGATGACAAATGTTTCTTTATAAACTCTTCTTGAGTCTTGTGCCCATTTTCTTGGTAAAAAATGACCTTAAAGTTTGAATCCTTTTAGGTTTCTTTAGAATTTTTTTTTCCTAGAACTTGTTCATCCACATATTATCTAGATGCTGTTTTAATCACCTTTCTTGATATTGAAATTTGAAAAAAAGAAAGTTCTAAAAAAACCAATTTTAGGAGTTTTCTTTTATGTTTAGAAATTTGTTCATTTTTTAGGCTTATTTTTCAATTTTGCTACCATTGCCATTAAGCCTTTCTGAACTATAGGATTACCTTAGAAAACTTTTTTGTGGCAGCTTTAGAGCATTTTTTTAGAACCCAAATAGTCCATTATTTAGTTCTATATTTTTATAGGATTTGTAGCTCACTTTGTTTTAAAAAAAAGTTTTGGGCATAAAGTCTTAAGTGTGAGTGTATACAGTGCATTTTGTTTTTCTTGATGATGATTGCAATTGAAATGGTTTCTTTTTGGTCTTTTGAACGAGGACGTTCAAGTCTTAAGTGTGGGGGTATTTGATAAGTCGGGTTTGGTTTGGTTCTTTTTATTCTTTTTTAGGTATTTTTAATATTTTTAGAGTTTAATTTTTAGATGTTTAGCTTAGTTTTATTATAATTTTCATTTTTACATTCTTTTTATTTTCTTTTAAAAATCATAGCTTTTTAATCCTTTTTTTTACGCTTTATAATTTTTATTTTATTTTTCCTAACCCAAAATTATCAGATATCTTATTTATTGGAGAAAAATGTAGCAAAAGGCCGAATCAGAAGTTCAAGTTTTAAAGGAAGAGATCAAATTTGGGCCAAGCCCAAATCCTACATTAAAAGAATCAAGCATCCAATCCATTCTCATTTTCTCTCTAGCAACAAAGGAAAAAAAACGGAGAATAGCGCAGACATCTTCCACGCAGCGACTTCTTCTTCTACGACAAGTCTCCAACAAGGACGGTTATAAAGAGTTTCAAAGGGAGATTTGTTGGAGAGAGTTTTGGTGGGCATACGGTTGATAAGATAGTTTGCTGTGGCAAGAGCTTCGACCCAAAAGGTAGTCGGGAGAGCAGAGTCGTATAGAAGAGAAACAACCGTTTCAATGAGATGACGGTGCTTCCGTTCAGCGACCCCATTTTGCTCAGGAGTGTAGGGACAAGAGGTGTGATGAAGGACTCCTAAAGTTTGAAGGAAAAGGCCAAAAGCGTTATTTACAAATTCTTTGCCATTATCACTTCGAAAAATTTTGATGTGAGAATTAAACTGAGTTTTAATCATTTTTTCAAAATTCACAAAAACAGAGTAAGCTTCAGATTTATGTTTTAAGGGATAAATCGAGGTAAATTTGCTGAAATCATCAACAAAAGAGATATAAAATCAAAAACCG